TTAATAAACTATTTATTAAATTTAACCAATAAAAATTAATAAAAGAAAAGAAAGAGTGGATAGCGTAGGGTGGGCAATAGCAATGGAAGGGAGGAAAAGTGAAGGTAATTTTGTTTGAATAAAAAAGAGTGAAAGAAAAAAAATAATATTTTTATTTAATTAAATAATTTAAAGAAAAATAAAATAAAATAATAAAATTTTTAAAATTTATTAATTAAATAAATAATTAAAATAAAATATTTATTTATTTATTTATTTAAAAAAATTAAAAAAATAAATCAAATAATACAATTTATTTTAATTCCTTCAAATAAAAAAAATTGAATATAAAAGAGGAGAGACAATTCCATCTCTCTCTACTCCATTAAAATTATTAATCCACATAACTGAAGATGCTTTCTCCTACTCACCGTCCTCCTCTTCCCTTCTAACTTCCCAAATTCAAATATAATGTAAAGATATAAATAAGTTATTAAATACAATATTTATAAAATGATATGAATTTAATATAAAAATTTATATAAATTAATTATAAATATTATGATTAATAGAGCTTAGGTATTAAGGATACAAATTAAACAAATTCAAAAAGTAATATTATTTGCAAAATTATAAAAATACATAAAAATAATACTCATCTGGCTTACAACTAAAAAACTAGGAAGAAAAGCCGACTCTTGTTTATATTTAATAGATTAAATTTGATTTTTTTAATTTTTAAATATAAAATTTAAATAAAAATTTAATAGATTTTCTAAACAATAATTAAATTTTTTTTTTCTTTTTACATAAAATTTTTGTTGAGTAATTTTATTTGATAAAAAAATTTTAATTATTTTTTATATTATATGTTAAATTTTTATATAAAATTATTTCTAAAAAATTAAAAAGTCAAAATAGATATATTAAAACTGAAATGAATAGAGAGAGTATTAAAAAATAATTAAATGGCAAGATGTCACCTGTTTTGTTCTGTTTTTTTTTTTTTTTTTCTTGGTTGTAACCGAAAAAAATCTGGTTGGTTTTTGATTAAAGGGATTGAAAACCAAAGGCTAAATATATATATAAAAAAAAAAGCAAAATTTTATAGAAATAAATAATTATTATTTGAATATTTTAAATAAATATAAAAATTATTCTATCAATCTCATTTTCAAGTATGACTTTATAAATTTTGTTATAATTTAGGATTTGAATTGTAAAAAATTCAAAGTCCATGCCTTACTCTCTTTTTTATTCACTTTTTTTTTATCTATATTATTTGTATATATTTTATAATTGTTAATTAAAACTGAAATGAAATTTATAATAATAAAAAATTCAGATAACCAAACTAAAAAATTATATATATTTCGCTTTTAATTTATGTCTTAAAAATTTTAACCAAAATTTTCGGTTAGTTAAATATTGATGTTTGCCCACCCCTAAAGTACACCCACCACCTTCCCCAAATTAATGTCCCAACATTTCAATAGGTCCCTAGATGTTGCCACAATTTCCTTATCTTTTGCCCCATGCCCACGGGCACATGGTTAGACAAAGTTTTTGGGTGATATCTTGTTTTGTCAGCTCATAGACCAAACTGTTTTTTTACTAACATTTCAAAGCCACACCCTATGTCTGCCATTTCCACTGACAACCTAATCTAAAATCAAAATTGAAGGTATGGGTATTCAGCCTAGGTCTCCAAGGATTTCAGAAAATCAGAAGCCAGGCTTTATCTATGATTTTTAGTTAAAGAATCTACTGAAACCCCAAAATTCATCCAAATAAATTTGTATTCGATGCTTGTCTCAAACACCCTAAATGTGTATGATAATAGCTTTTGGATACTTAATTCCAAACCCATGTAACATAACTAAATTAATTCTTATATTCAAGTCCTTCAACCTCAAAATCATTTAATATGGTACAGCATTAATGTTCATTGATATTGTAACACCTAGAAGAAGCTGCATCACATTGTCCCCAGTACTCCAAATAAGACCATATGACTCCTTAAATTTCTGCTTTAGAATTCAAAACCCAGAAGAGGTGTGAAATGGATTACCTCTGTCATTGACTTGACCAGAAAACCCTTTGAAGGATTGTACTGATTATTCATCATCGTTGAAGCATCTTCAATTTGCAGAGCAGGCCCATCCAGAGGAAAAAATAGGACCATTTTCACTTTCCAAAAGGTCTCTCGGAAATTTTGACTCTTGCTCCTAAAAGAAGTTGGATGGAAAATAACAGATCCAAAAACAGAACAAAAAGAAGGGTTTATGGAGTCTATGTTATGTGCAATTCAAACTACACCATAAAACACTAATTATTAGATGGAATGGTCTTTTTCATTTTCAAGTAATCCTTTCTAATTTAATAATTAATGTTTTACAGTTTAATGCAGTTTAAACTCTAAATACTTTTTTGAAAATAGAAATGCAACTATACAACTACCTAGATGGCTCCAAACAAATTAGTTGCCAAACATTGACATGTCACCAATGTGTAAGGGGTTTGTTATCAACATTAATTCTCGTGACATTGCAATGGCAGCTACCACAATTTCCATCCTTCAATTTTAGAACTAATTGGTTGTCTCTTACAAGCCAGGAAATTAGTATAGCTATGGGGGACAAGGGACAATAATACCACAACATGGGTGAACTATATTCATTTTCCCAACTTCACCACCTCCAGAAATTATTGACATTAGAAGTCGGTAGTTATGGATTCTCTCAACTGAATAGGACCCATTTCTGCCTCCTAAATTGAATTGAATTGAACCTCTTTCCTTTCTCATTTTCTTTTTTGATTGTTTTGCTTTTTATACTTAGAGGGACCAAACTTTTAGTCTTTTACATTCCCTCCTTCATCAGCCATGCCATTTACTAACAAAAATAAGTCGGTAGCCCCAGAAAATGTGTCCCAATTGAAGAGCACCCTCATCTACTGTCTAAATAAATGGAGAGGGAGTACTTTTCTTCTCATGTAGCTTTCAAATGAGAGACAAAAGCTAAATTTAATTCATTATTATGCACACAAAGGAATCAAATGAAATAATGACTCCAAATTTCATTTGAACTAAATCTATTTTCACAAACCCTATAGCCCTCTAGTCACATCTAATATCCTCTATGTAAAAGCAAAAATACCAAAGCTATGTTTTCTATGGCTCCAAATGAAGGGGTAAAACTGCATTTCTTGATCCTCTACCTTGACCAAATGAGAAGAACGATCTCCTCACTCTGTTACTGCAACCTTCAAGGGGACTAACCTCAGAAACATGCCTGCCCTGTTGAACAGCTTCTTGAACTGCTAGAAACAGCTGCCGATCGGTGGAGGAATCCATTGAGAAAGATCTCCTTATGGGTTCAATTGCAAACCGTTCATCCTTATCTCTTATATCAATACATTCATCTCCCATGCTTGTGACTTTATGGAACTTTCTGGCCTTTTTGTGCACAATTCTCTGCTCCAACTTCCTTGGCAAGGGACTAATTGTCCTTGTCACCGGAAGCTCTGCTGAGTTCAACCTTTCTTGTGCACCAAGCAATGTCTGATCGGTGGTGTTGTGAACATTGCTCAGTTCAATCACAACATAGTCCTCATCCCCAGTGACAAGATTAGCGGAGCATGTTGGATTGGGATCTTGTGGGGTAGAGCTTGGGGCAATAATCTGATCTATTGGGAATATAGGAGTGCTTGAAATGCTTGTTCTGCACAGAGGGCAATTTGCATTGTTTTGAAGCCAGACATCAATGCAATCGATGTGGAAAACATGGTCGCAGCTTGGGATTCTTCTGAGCTTCTCTTCTTCTTGAAACTCATTCAAGCAAACAGCACACTCACAGAAGCTTCTTTCCCCCAAATCCTTCTTCCCATTCCCACCCTTTTTGAACTGAAATATGGGGATTGATCGTATCACGGATTCATCAAGTCCCCGGTGTTCCACCGTCGGAGCATACCCCATTAAAGGGTCTTCGTGCCGGTTTCTCCGGGATAGTGAAAACCGCCGGAGGAAATCAATCCGGTGCCAGTTAAGGCAGCACTTGATGACAAAGATGTAGTAGCTGACCAGCAAGAACGCCGTGGCCAAAATTCCGATTATGGCAATGGCAATAATCGGAAAACTCGTATTGTCCGACGAATTTAAAGGCTTCCCTACCGGACTCACCTCCGGTGCCAGAGTAACCATTTCATGGATCGTGTAGCTCTTGCTTACAAGATCCATGAAAGATTCAAACTTTACAATCACTAATCAATGCAGAAACACGGGTTTTGATTCAATAAGGCAAAAACACAAACATGTGGGGTTCTGAATTAGAAAACGGAAAGTTACTCAGATTCAGTAGAAACAGGGGTTTTGCTTCATTGAGACAAAAACACAAACGTGCAGTTCTGACTTAGAAAAACATATAAAACAACAAAAAAACAGAAAAGAGAAATTGAAGAAGAATCAATCACCAAAGAATGCAGAAAAATGGGTTGTGATTTAATCACGCAAAAGCACAAACATAGTCCAGTTCTGAATTGGGAAAAGGCTGAAATCAATGGAAAAACAGAGAAAATGAAGGAAGCAATGGATTGAACATGGAGAAAAAGAGGAGGAGGGGAAAACCCAGATGAGATTTAAATTGAAAAGATGCTCAGATGGGGGGACAAAGAAAAGGATTGAAAATAGAAGAAAAGTCCACATGGAGTAATAAAATGGAAGAGAGTAGTTGGCGGATTTCTGTGAGTTTTCCACGAGAAGTTTGGCTAGAAAATTGTTGAAGCGTCTCGATTATTGTACATTTATTTTTCTTAAATCATTTCATACGGGGACGTATGGGAAGGGGTAGAGTGGGTTGGCAGTCTAAGGCGGATGATGGGGGGCTTAGAAAAATACATCTAAGAATCAAGTTGGTGGGGATGTGGGGACCAAGAAGAGAATGGAAAGGATGGATTTTGATGCTGTAAGTTGATTCTGAAGTTGGAACTAATGAGTAACTTCGGCATAAAAAAAGTGATTATAAATTACTCCATGATATCATTGCTTTTTCATGCATATGATCATATATCGATAACTACAATATTTATTTCATCGTTTAACTAATAATTATTAAATAAAAAATAATTTTGTTATTAAAAGACTCATCTTACATGGTAATTTAAGTTATGTATTTTAATATAATTTAAATTGTATAACATTTTTGTTTAATTTTTAATTTGAGGTTAGTTTTCAATTATCTATTATAGTTATTTTCAAGTTTTAACATTACTCATAGTTTAAAAAGATTAAATTTTTATTTTAAGTTACATAATAAGAGGTAAATATATTTTAATTTTTTAACATATCTTATTTATATATCATATAATTCGAATTTTAAATTTTTTATTTTTAATAAAAAGAAATTATCATTGAATTATTTTAATTATAGAAAAATTTTAAATTTAATAAATAATCTCAATTAAACATCAAGTTAATCGAATGTTTTTAATTTAAATTGTGTTATACTTCAAGTACATTTACACGAAAGGTATTGTAGTTAAGAGTATTTTAAGTGCTTAATAAGAGTTTAAAATTTTAAAATAGAAATTTTGAATTGAAGATTTCTATTCTAATATAAGTATAAAAAAATTAAGAAAAAAATGATTATTTTTCTGTTGTAAAATTTATTATTAAATGTATAAAAGAAAATTACACTAAGGCACAAGAGTAGGGAGAATAGCTTGATCATTGAATTTCACTTTCCGAGTTTGTAAAACGTAGTTATCATGTTGAAAGTAGTACCTAATTTAACGGCTATAATGCTCACTTCCATTTATATTTTCGTCTTTGAAGTCATTCATTCAGTGCTTAACTAATAACTCTAATTCTTCATAAATTTTCTAATTTTAATGAGAATGATTAACTCTCAACAGATGGAGACGTAAACTTAAAGAAAGATCAATAATACTAATGTGCAAGATGAATTATTTACAATAACCCAAAACCCAATTCAATGTGGAAAATGTGAAACAGAATCAATAATAGATATGATCCAAAATTGAGTTCAACAAAGCTATGATTCAAAAGGTCTTGACTTTTCGCGCACACTCATCTTTTCCCCAATCATAATCAATCAAAACAGAACAAAAAGTCTCAATTGCACATGCAACCCACCATTAACTTTAGATTACCAATCTTCCACCCATCAAAGAAACCCAATTATCATCCCATTAAAAAGAAACACACACACACCAAAAAAAAAAAAAAAAAATTCCACCATATTCATACAGACAGCCATTGGCCATACACGTTTATGAGGATACAAAAGGAAATGCAAATCTATCCTTTTTGTTAAATGGGTCCCAATCCAAACAGAAAATTCATTTTTCTAACAGGAAAGTCAAATCCGACCAGTACCCAGAAAAAAGAAAGTAAAATCAAAAAATCATAAAAGAACAGAACCGACACTCCTCAATGCTGCCATGCTATGTAGTTGACAAGAATTTAAGACTAGGTACAGTTTGGTAAGAAAAACACGGTCTCTCTCTTTCCCATCGTCAAAGGTTGTGGCCTTTCTCACTGTGGGAAGAAACTTCTTCTGGAATTTTTTTTTTCTTCTCTTCTTTGGATTTTTCCAGAATTTCAAATCTGTGGGCGACCCTTTATCAACTGCATGTAGCAGATGCAGATAATCAAAAAGGCTTGTTTGCTTAAGAAAATAATGTTTGTCCTTAATATTGGATAGTTGATGGTGGATATTACCTTTTTTTTTCTTCTAAATTATGTTCTTTCTTGGTAATAGATTTATGTGAATTTTAATGAAAAACTTAAACGACACTTTCGATTGTTCACTTACATTGTTTGTGTCTGTAAATTTGTAGCAGGTTAAAATACCCCATATAACCTTATACTTCGAATTGATTCAAAATTTTAATCCCATGATGACGAAGGAAGTATGTTGTGTCCTAACTCCAAATTAGAAACAAAAGATAGGCCCTTGTACCTAAAATTCTTTGTCCTTAGCCTTCTTGGCCCTTCTTCAAAAAGCAAAACCAACATCAAAATTCACCTAACTCAATTACAATTTTTGTCATATATGTTTCAATTTCATTCTGTTTTATTGCTGAAAGCAATTGCTCTGTGACCTTTGCATTGTCTCAATGTCTCTTGTCCATCTTCTCAAGAAACTAAACAAAAACTAACTTGATTTGTTGCATTTTCCACCACATGAATTCTAGCCTTCAAATCCATCACTCTCACATCAGCCTTACATATGCATTTCCCTTTTTCTCTCTGTTTTCAAAACTAATTCCAACAATTTTTTTTATTTTTTTATTTTTTGGCTTTCCAACAATCTTGTTTAACTTGGTCACCAAGTTAAATACCCCCTGTAATTAATTTTACAGTGAATCAAAGAAAAAAAGAAGAAGAGTTATTATAGGTTGATCAGTTCCAGATTGGACCACAGGCAAAGAAACTGATATATTAATTACCATGCTGCAATAAACATAAAAAAATGTTTTTCTGGTACAAATAATAAATAAATAAACGTTGCATTAGTTACCATATAATTAATTTGTGGGTTTTACAATAATTTATCTTTATACTTTTATAGTTTATTTATATAAAAAATATAAATTTTAATTTTAATTTAATCAATTAATTAATTAAAATTATTTATATAACAATAATATTAAAATAAACATCATTTTTAGAGCACAAGTTTAACCAACCCTATGATAATTTACGAATGAAGAAGTTAAGAAGGTGTAGGTGCAGAAGCAGGCACAAATGAAAACTGGCACACGTTGGATTGGGATGAAGGCAACAGCTGTTCTGTGTTCTGGGCATACCATTTGGAGAAGAGGTTGGGACACATCAATAAGCAGACATTAAAAATATGCTTCGTTTTCATTTATGTTGTACCTGTCTGTGCTTTTTTTATTAATATTATTATTTTGAAAAGTTTTTTTATTTATTTCATGACAAGATTAAGTGAATGAATCATCCATGAGTTGACCCTCTTCGCGAATTTTCTTTTTCTGTTTATAATCAGAGAATAATACAGAGAGATAGTTTTTGTTTTTTTTTTCTAAAACATTTGTGAAAGAATTTATCTTTTAATTAATATTTTTTTAAAATTAATTATTAAATTAAAAATATAATTTATTAAGATTATATATACTAATTTTTATATTAATATCATATTTATAATCTTTTAATTATAATAATTTTATTTATTGACATATATTTAATAACATTAAATTTTTTATAGTTAACAAGTTAGTTAAGTCTACTAGAATAACATAAAAATATATATATATATAACTTATATGAATAAAATTTTTAATTTCACTATTAATTTTTAAAATATAAATCAAAAATAAAATTTTATACATATCCTCAAAAAAAAAAAAAGTATGATGACTTATAAAAGACTTTTTTCTTATAATTATTCTTAGTCTGATTAATTATTTTTTAGTTGGGATGCCCATCAAAAAAAAAAAATGTTGGGATAATCATTGGTGGTATCCTAACAAAAATATACAAATATATATACTTTATGCTAAAAGTTTTGTCAATAACAAATCATCAAAACATCATACACGCAATGAAGCATTTGTTTTTATTGATATTTTTATTAAATCAAATAGGTGAATCAATACATATTCACTTATTGATGTGAATTAGTTATTTTAAAAATTATTTTTGGTAAGAAAATAATATAAGTAGGTTTTTTCATTTGTTGAAAATGATATATCATATAAGAACATCACGTGGGTGCAGGCGACTCAGGGGAAGAGTCACGTGAGAGCAGGTCCGAGATGCTAGCTTCTCAGTTAACCCAAGAAAAAAAATTAAGAAAAAATTAAAAAATTACTTGAAAATTTAATTTAATTTAATTTACTGTTATGAGTAACGTGAGAAAAAGAGAGCCACACGTGTAGTCACATGCTCTTGAACGCAGAGCACACACATAAGCAGCAGGATTCATGACGACACGAGCAAATTTTTCTTTTCTTTTTTTTCTTTTTTTTGAGGAAAAGAGCAAATTTTTCATTTTAAGTTATACAGTCAAAAGCGCCTTTTTTTTTTTTTTATGGGCAAAATAAATTAGAGTTTTTATAGTTTATGTCTTTTAAGTATAAATTAAAATTATAATAAATATAATTTGTGTTATATATTTATATTAAAAAATAAAAATTAATATTTAATTTATTAATAATTTAATTAAATTTATTTATTTGATAATAATATTAAAATTAAAATTAAATTTTATTTTTTAATATATATTTATTTCAAAAAAATAATCTTAATTTGTGTTTTAAAAGTATAGATTAAAAAAACCCAATAAATTATTAAGAAACACAATTAAGTTAAGACGGTCAAAATTTGACAAACCATAAATTTATTTGACTCGGATTTATTAATGTAATGTAATGTCGGAGATCTACTTTGTAACGATTTTAATTTTGATTACTAGGATGGAATGTGAATTGGTAGCTCGTTGACTTTGATTTCAATTCACATTTCAAAATTTAAATTATTACAAGTGGATTAGATTTCAATTCACATTTGTTTTACTAGTATTTTTTTTTTATGGAACACCTAATATCCAAAAGCCCACTGAATCATTGACTAATCCGGATTCGAGTCAGACAGGACCCAACGAACGACAAAATTCTTCCTTACGAGTTTTAACAGAATTGTATTTTCAAAACTTAAAATCGAGATTTTTGATTAAATTGGAAGAGTTCTCTGTCAACTGATCCATCACTTGTGGTTGTTTTACTAGCAATTATTACTAAATTATAAAATCTCAATTAATAGAATGAAGAGTATGAAAACCATACCCATTAATGTATTGTTCAAAAATTAAGTTTTGAGACAAACACTTAAAAAAATTATTATTTTTAAATGTATTAAGTTGATAAAGAGATATATTTTTAAAATCGTTTACAACAAATTAGTGCCAAAGTGTATAAAAATTAATTTAAAAAAAATACCCTAATCATAAATAATAAATAAATAATTAGATTAATCCCTTGAGAAGTGAGACTCCATCTTAAATGAGTCAAAGTCAAAAGCCACAACCTCTATTGAACAAATGCCAGCCTAACATGAAAGTTACGAATTGAGTTAGAATACAATCTTTGGCACACTATTACTAATGATATAAATTTGAACTCTTAAGGATTATGTGAATCTTGTTTTGAAAAGTTATTAGATTAGTAAACACATAAACACATATGATTTTATAAGTTGTTTTTGAATTTTTAAAAGTGAATCTTGTTTTGAGAAGTTTTAGATTAGTAAACACATAAACAAATATGATTTTATAAGTTGTTTTTGAATTAAGTGTCTATTTAATCTAATTTTTGAAAAGACTCTTTATCACAAAAGCAAAAGCTAGACCAAATTCAATTTTTAAATAAATGCTTTTAATTTTTCTAAAATATACTTTCAACTATATAAAAGTTGAAGGTACAAACTTGTAACATGTGGAGTAGAGCTTTTCATTTAAAATTTTATCAATTTTAAAATATTTTTATAATTAATTATTAGATAACTAAAAAGTTAAGACCATTTAAATATCTAAAAAACTCCTAAATTGAATATTTTTTAGCCCAATTAAAATGGACTCTAAACCCATCTCTTATTAATTGTCCAAATATCAAGTTGGCCCATAAGATTCTCCATATAATCTGCTGTTTATCTCACTAAAAGATCGTGCAGCGGACCCACTTGTTTATATAAATTCTTGATTCAAGTGTGCAAAAATTTAACACAAAACAAACTTGACAAAAGTTTGCAATTGGCAAAAGTATAGCATAAGGACTTGAATTTGCAAAAAATTTGTAATTTCAAATTCAAATTTCAATTGCACTTAATTAAGATCTCAAACTATATAAAATTCTCAAATAAGATCCTAATCAGATGAAAAATTAACTTCCGTCAAATCTTTTACTAACTTCGTTAATGTTTATTACTCTAAATTCTTATTGCATTCGACTAGAACATTAATGAACATTAACAAATATTAATGAAGTCAATAAAACATCTTACGGCAAGAGAATATTTTATCCAAGTGGGATCTTAATTGAGAATTTCATGTAGTTTGTGACCTTAATTGCAAGTTTGGGTTTGAAAATGCAAATTTTGTGCAAGTTTGGGTCCTTATATCATATTTTTGCCTTTACAATTAAGCTAAATAAGCTAGGCCCAAGAGCAGAGTTAAAATGGAGATCAAGCCCATCTGATATCAAGAAGGCATAGGTGTTCACGGATCCAACTGTAAGACCAAGCCCATTGGGCTACATGTTGGCAGCACCGGTTCTTGCAATTCTGATGCCTGTTGATAAAAGTTTGCACCGTTCATACTCATCTAGTAAAATAACTAAACTAAGAAATCAAAATCCTAGGACTTTTGCCCCTCTCCCCATCGGAAAAAAAAAAAAGAAAAAAAAAGACGTTTACCTCACTATCAAGAAAATGAAACCATAACCTAGTTCCCCATATTATTGACAAACAAAAGACGTTTTAAGAGTTTTTAGTTACAGTAGCAAGTAAAATTATAAATATATAATCATGATATATTATTAAATAAATATATATAATATTTTAAGTAAATTTTTAAATAAAAAATAAATTATATAATAATATATTATGATTATAATCTTATAATAAGTCATATGATATTATAAATATATTATTTTTATTTGATAAGTAAATTTAGAGGTAGACATCAATGAGGTCATTAACATAGCCAAAATATTTGAGTGATTAAATAAAGTAAGTTCAACATTCAAGATGTTTGAGGTTTGGCCCATACCCGCCGGTTCTTTTGATTTCCCATTGTTTTAAGGTTGCGTTCTCTAACATCCTTGCTTACTACAAAATAATTAATAGGAAAGTGGTAACAAAGTAGCCTTTTTTTCTCCCTTCTAATTTGACCTGCATGGTCCCCAGCAACCTTTTTTTTTTTTAAACTAGAATAAGTTCATATATATATATATTCCTATAATACTATCAAGAATCAAATTTTTCCTCCTCTCTTTCATTCACTCATTACTATCTAA